CTGCTGCTGCTGCTGCTGCTGCTGCTGCTGCTGCTGCTGCTGCTGCTGCTGCTGCTGCTGCTGCTGCTGCTGCTGCTGCTGCTGTTTCTGCTGCTCCTGCTGTTTCTGCTGCTACTGCTGCTGCTGTTTCTGCTGCTCCTGCTGTTTCTGCTGCTGCTCCTGCCGTTTCTGCTGCTGCTGCTTCTGCTGCTGCTATTGTTTCTGCCGCTTCTGCTGCTGCTGCTGTTGTTTCTGCTGCTGTTTCTGCTGCTGCTTATGCTGCTGCTGCTTATGCTGCTGCTGCTTATGCTGCTGCTGCTTATGCTGCTGCTGCTGCTGTTTCTCCTGCTGCTGTTGTTGTTTGTCCTCTTCCTGCTGCTGCTGCTGGTTTTATTTATGATATTGCAGGATGCTTCTTGCTGCTGCTGCGTTTTCTGCTGCTGCAGCGCTCGCTAGTTGCTGTTTTGTATGTGCTGCTGTTGTTGCTGCTGCTGTTCGTTTTGGTGCTGCTGCAGTTCTTGCTGCAGCAGCACTCTTGTGCGCACTATCCGTTTTCTTTTGTAATATTTTAAAGCGCATGCAGACTTTGCTGCTGCTGCTTTTCCTGCTGCTGTTGCAGCAGCAGCAGCAGCAGCTGCTGCTGCTGCTGCTGCAGCCGTGGCTATATTCTGCATCTCTTTTCATCATTAGCGCATGCGCCTCTGTGCGTTGTTCTCCGCGCTCGCCTCCTCATCAGACCCACTCCTGCTGCTGCTGCTGCTGCTGCTGCTGCTGCTGCTGCTGCTGCTGCTGCTGCTGCTGCGTGTTGCTGCAGAAAATGGCGATAGGATCTGCTGCGGAGGGCTGGGTGTCTTTGGTTTCAATGCGCTGGTGTCTGGCTTTTGTTTGCTTCGGCTTTTTTCTCTTCGAAGCTCCGCTGTACGACGTGCTGCTGCTTGCTGCTGCTGCTGCTGCTGCTGCTGCAGTTGCTGCTGCTGCTCTCGCGGCGCTGCCCTTCGCGCTCGGGGCCGCGCTCGCAGCAGCAGCAGCAGCAGCAGCAGCAGCAGCAGCAGCGCCAGCAGCAGCAGCAAAAGGGCTCGTCTTCGATGTTATTGAAAGCCCCGTTGGGCCGCTGCTTGCTGCCTTCTTCGGTGCTGCTGCTGCTGGCGTTTTCAGCCAGCTGCGGCTGCTGCTGCTGTCCTTATTTGCTGCTAACAGAGTGAGCAGCAGCAAACTTGAACTTTTCCAGCTGCTGCTGCTGCTGCTGCTGCTGCTGCTGCTGCTGCTGCTGTTGCTGCTGCTGCTGCTGTTGCTGCTGCCACTATTTCATATTCGCAAACGTTCATGTTTAAATGTAGTTTTATTTAAATATTTAAAAGTCTTATTTCAATTTATTTATAACATTTTATTTAAATGTTTGAAATATATTTTATTCTTCAGAGTTTGGACTTTAAAAGAATTTGTTTTCTTTCTTTTTGCTTCTGCTGCTGCGCATTTGTCGAAGGAATTAAAAGGAATTAAATTTTAATTTAATTCTTTTAATTTCAATTAAAAGAATTAAAGTTTAATTTAATTCTTTTAATTTCAAATCGAAAAATTAAAGTTTAATTTAATTCTTTTAACTTCAAATTAAAAGAATTAAAGTTTAATTTAATTCTTTTAAGAGGATTCATTTTAATTGTTTTAAAAGAATTAAAAGGAACTAAAGTTTAATTTAATTCTTTCAGAAGAATTCATTTTGATTCTTTTAATTTCAATTAAAAGAATTAAAGTTTAATTAATTCTTTTAATTTCAATTAAAGCAATTAAAGTTTAATTAATTCTTTTAATTTCAATTAAAACAATTAAATGAATTCTTTTGTTGTTTGCTTTTGTGCTGCTGCTTTGCTGCAGCAAGAAGGCAGTCTGTGGGCGCGGCTGTCTTTGCTTTTTGTTTTTTATTTTTGTTTCCTTTTCTTGCCTTTCTCGAGTGTATCGACACCTGACTCCCTCACTCACTTGTGAGTTTGTTTAATTAGTTCATTTAATTCATTTAATTCGTTTTGTTCATTTTATTCATTTTGTTCATTAATTCATTTAATTCATTTAATTCATTTGATTCGTTTTGTTCATTTAATTCATTTTGTTCATTTAATTCATTTAATTCATTTTATTTATTTTATTCTTTTGTTCATTTCATTTTTCAGAACTTTTCTGTTTCCCGCTTTGCTTTGTTCTTTTTATTTTTGTTTTATTTTTATTTTTATTTTATTTTTATTTTTTATTATTTTTGTTTTATTTTTATTTTTATTTTATTATTATTATTATTATTATTATTATTATTATTATTATTATTATTATTATTATTATTATTATTATTTCGTTTCTTTTGCCTTTTCGTCTTTTTATTATTCTTATTTGGGTGCTTGTAGCCTCACAAATGACTCCTTGCTTTTTTCTTTTTTAATTTAGACCTCATCTAACTGACAAATGGATCTATTTATTTATTATTTATTTATTTATTTACTATTTATTTATTTATTATTTATTTATTTGTTTGTTTATTTATTATTTATTATTTATTTATTTATTTATTTATTTATTTATTTGAATTGATTTCTTTTTATTTGCAGCTTCTTCGGCGCTTCGCCCTCCCTGTACACCGCGCTTCTGCGTCAAGGTGCGTTTGCAGTTTTATTTCGAATTTATTTTATTTTGTTTTTATTTCTTTTATTTCGACTTTGTTTTATTTTTAATTTAATTTCTTTTATTTCGACTTTATTTTGTTTATTTTTAATTTTTTTCTTTTATTTCGAATTTATTTTGTTTATTTTTGATTTTATTTCTCTTATTTCGATTCTTTTTTGCTTATTTTTGGTTGTTTTTGATTTTGAATTTATTTTGATTATTTTTGATTTTATATTTGATTTTAAATCTATTTTTTGTTTCTTTATTTATTTGGCCAGCTGCCTCTGGCCTTCGTTGTTGCTGCAGGTTTTCTTTCGTTTTCGTTTCTGCACAAATATAAATAATGAACAGCAACAAATTAAAAACATTTAATTATTTGTTTTAATTTGTTGTTCTATTTACATTTTATTATTTGTTTTCTTTCTGTTCTTTTGCTTCTTGTTGCTGCTGCGCTGCTGCTGCGCTGCTGCTGCTGCTGCGCTGCTGCTGCTGCTGCTGCTGCGCTGCTGCTGCAGATGTCGTCGTGGGCGCCTTGGCCGCCAAAATTTGCCTCTTTTGGCCTTCGCTGTTTGTGCTGTCGCCTCACCGTGAGTTTTCAACAAATTAAATAAAACAATGTCAAATAAAAATAAATAAATTAAATAAATTAAATAAATTAAATAAATAAACCAATTTAAAAACAAATCAATAAAATAAATCAGTTTTAAAACAAACAAATTCGTAATTCTAAATGCGGAAAGCGCGCACTTCATAGCGATGCCGCATACACAGGAGGAACCTGAACTGCCAAACCCTAAACCCTAAACCCTAAACCCTAAACCCTAAACCCTCATAAAGTATTCTCAAACCCTTTTTAAATTTGAATTAAAAGGTTTTGTTTCTGTTCGCAGCGACTCTGAAGAGAGTCATTAGTGTTTCGCTTTCCGTTTCTGTTTTGGTGGCGATGGCGTCCGATGTGAGTGAACTTGAACACAAGTTCAGATTTGAATTAAATTTTATTTTTTTAATTCAAATAAGTTTAATTCAACTCCAAATAAGTTTAATTAACTTCTTTTGAATATTTATTTTGTTCAAATGGCTTCTTTGGCTCTGTTTTGCTGCATTCAACTTCTGCATGCGTTCCCGTTCAACTTTTGCTTATTTTCGGGTTTCCAGCTTCTATTTGTTTCCTTTTTTCTCCAAAATGTTTTATTTTATAATTTAATTATTTATAATATTCTATTTTATATTTTAATTTACTTATTTGGAGGTGTTCGGATCTCTTTGCTGCGCTTTCCGTTCAGCACTGGGGCACCATCGGCCCGGGCTTTCTGGGGTGTCTGGCCTGCCTTTACTATTTGCTGTTCAAGTAAATGGAAAAGCAAATTAGATTTTAAAATTAAAATGAGTTTTAAAATAAAAGAAATGAATTCGAAAGAAGGCTTGGAGCAAACTAGACTTTGAAAGAGTTCTTCGGAGTGGCCACGAACAAAAGACCGCCTCAGCAGCAGCAGCAGCAGCAGCAGCAGCACTGCAGCAGCACTGCAGCAGCACAGGCAAATGCAACTACAAAGAAAATAAAAAAGTCCAGCGAAGTATAATATAAAACAAAATCGAAGAAGACCGCTTGGGCGTCTCTAGCTGCAGCAGCAGCAGGAAGCCGAAAAGGCAGGGCGAAGCAGCAGCAGCAGCAGCAGCAGCAGCAGCAGCAGCTGCTGCTGCTGCTGCAGCGCCCGATGCTGGGAACGCGCAGCAGCAGCCGCTGCAGCAGCTGCTGCTGCTGCTGCAAGCTGCCTCTGCACCCGCAGCAGCCGTTGCTGCTGCCCCACAGGCCCTGGCTGTTCCTGCTGCTCCTGTACAGGCTGCTGCAGCAGGCGGTCCTGCTGCACTGTTGGCTGGCGCTGCAGCAGCGGGTGCTGCTGCAGCAGCAGCAGCAGGAGCGGGGCTGCAGCAGCAGCTGCTGCTGTTCTTAGAACGAGCAAGTGACCAGTGGTCCACTCAGGTGACCAGTGGTCCACAGCTCGAGGACTTAGTCGAACTTGCTGTCTGAGCACTTCCCAAAACTTAATTTCAATTTTCCTTTTCTTTGTTTTATTTTTCTTTCCCGCGTTTTCTTTTCCAACACAAACGCAAATACCCTTTGCATGCAAATGCATCTTTTTTTGCATGCAAATGCATCTTTTTTGCATGCAAATGGATCTTTTTTTGCATCCGAATACCTTTTTTTGACGCGAAGTGCCCTTTTGACAACACAAGTCAAAATAACTTCAACAAAACACCGCTGGGGCCCTCTTTGGGGCCCCCTGCACACCCTGGGGGCCCCTGGGGGCCCCCGGGGGCCCCTGGGGGCCCCTGGGGGCCCCCAAGAATGACAAAAAAGGGTCCCCCACACTTCAGAGCCCCCCACGTCCATATGCACCCCCTGGGGGGCCCCCTGGGGCCCCCACTAAAAGTGGGGCCCCCCTACTGTGGGGCCCCCATGGGGGCCCCCCTTGTGGGGGTCCCCCTGCCGTGGGGCCCCCCTACTGTGGGGCCCCCGCAGCCTCTGGGGGGCCCCGGGGGCCCCCCGGGCTGCTGCTGGGAGAGCAAGGCGAGGTTGAAGACACTGAAGACCCACTGGAGCAGCAGACCCTTTATTGCATGCGGCTTTTTGTGGAAGTTGAAAAGAAGAAGTTAATCCCTTTGGGGCTTTGATGTTTGCATGCACTCTGGAGGCTTTTGCTGAAGAAAAGAATACTGTTGTACTGCTGTGCTTGCTGTACGTACACCCCAGGCCCCCGCGCGCGCGGACAAAAGCCTCCAGAGGTCCTCAAAAGTGTTTTTTATTTTTATTTCTTCATTTTATTTCTCATTTTATTTCTTCCCGAGAGTTTTTCGGCGCATGCAACTTCGGAAAGGCGGCGAAGGCCGCACCTGCAGCATCTCCGGGGCTTTTGCAGAAAGCGCATTCAAATAGGCTCGGCAGTTCAGCTCGCAGCGTTTGCCGCGATCTCCCTCCAATTTCCCCCGATCTTCGCAACAAATTCAACAAATTAAAAATAAAATAACTCAAAAACTCAAAAGCAACTCAAAAAGGAGAGAAACTCCGCCGATTTCCCGCTTTTCCACTTCTACTGGCCGTCGCTCTGCTGTGTCGGGGCCCCGGGGGCCCCCGGGGGCCCCCGGGGGCCCCCGGGGGCCCCCTGGGGGCCCCCGGGGCCCCCCGGGGCCCCGTTTGGAGCCATTTGGAGGTCTTTTAAGGTTTTTTGGAGATAAAATGCTTTTGGAAATGCGTTTTGGACTTAAAGGCTTTTGAAGAAAGGCTGTTCGTCGGGGGAGCCGATCCAGGAGGGGAGAATGCCCTGCTGCTGCAGCGGGCCGCGCGCAGCAGCAGTGATGTGGACGTGGGCCAGTGCAGCAAGAGACTCTGTCTTGGCCAACTTGTCTGCTGCTGCTGCTTCTGGCTCTCCTGCTGCAGCAGCAGCTTTGAGGTGCAGCAGGGCTTTGTGCAGCAGCGCGCGGTTGGCCAGGTGCTGCATGAAGGTTTTGAGTTTTGCTGCTTCGTCGGGGCTCAGCGGGCTCAGACTTGCTGCTGCTGCTGCTGCTGCTGCTGCTGCTGCTGCTGCGTCTTTGCTGCTTCTCTCCAGCCGTTTGACCCACGCGGAGGCGGTGGTGCCCTGGCGGTCAAGGCCTGCTGCGAGGTCGTGTTTGGCTGCGCGGAGCGCTGCTGCTGCTGCTTCTGCTTCTGCTGCTGCTGCTGCTGCGCTTGCTGCTGCAGCAGGCGTTGCTGCTGCTCGCACGCGCTGCAGCGCAGCAGCAAACTGCTGCTGCAGCTTGCTCACGTCGAAGGTGGCCAGGGCCAAGTCGGTCTGCAGCTCAGCCACGAAGAGTTCCCTGGAAAGCTGCTGCAGCTCCTCTCTTGCTGCAGCAGCTTGGGCCTCCCGCTGCTGCTGCAGCTGCTGCAGCAGCGCCCCCTGCTGCACTGCAGCAGACTCCGCAGCAACAGCAGCAGCTTCCTCGTTCAACTCCAGGATCTCCAGCTGCGCAAGGACTTCCCCCGCGCGCCGCCGCTTCAAAGGATACTCCAGCCCGGCCTGCAGCAGCTGCTGCAGCTGCTGCTGCTGCTGCTGCCCTGCTGCAGCAAACGGCGGCAGCCCCAGCAGCTGCACTGCCTGCCGCAGCCGCGCGAAGCAAGAAGGAGTTGTGTCTCTTTGGTTGGAGAAGAGGTAAAGAATAAAGCCGGGGACATACTTGTTCAGGCCCAGCTCCACCGCGCTCTTGCTGCTGCTGCTGCTGCTGCTGCTGCTGCTGCTGCTGCTGCTGCTGCTGCTGCTGCTGCAGGGCTTCGACAGCGAAGACGAGAAGCAGCTAAACACTGCAGCAGACACCGCCCGCCGCGACAGCACTTGCCGGTCGCTCTCGAAGAGGGAGTTCGGCGGCGCTGCAGCAGCCCAGCTGCTGGCGAGTTTTTGGAACTCTCCGTAAACGAAAATGGCATCATTTAATTCTTGAAAATGAGGACTTTTCATCAAACTTTCCGGAGATTCTTTGCCAGAAATGCCAGTAATGCCATTAATGCCATTAATGCCATTAACAGCGTCTTTTTTCCCGTTTTTTCCGCCGCTCTGCTGCGCTTTTTGCTGCTGCTGCAGCTGCTGCAGCACTGCTGCTGCTTGCTGGTCCCGCAGCAGCACCAGCTGCTGCTGCATCTCCTGCGCCCAGCTCTCCAGCGCCTGGTACAGCAGCGGCAGCCGCTGCTGCTGCTGCTGCAGCTCCCGCCGCTGCTGCTGCTGCTCCTCGCTCCCCTGCTGCTGCTCCTGCTGCTGCTCCTGCTGCTGCTGCTGCTGCTGCTGCTGCTGCTGCTGCTCGGGGGTGAAGCCCCCACGCACAGGGTCGTAAGGAGCCACTCCTGTCTGCGTCTCCAGCAGCAAAACTTCTTCGAAGAGCCGCAGCCCCTGCAGCTGCACGAGCTGCCAAGCAGCAGGAGCAGCAGTGAGTTTTGCTGCTGCTGCTGCTGCTGGTGCTGCTGCTGCTGCTGCTCCTGCGACGCGGGAGACCTGCTCAGCAGCCCCTGCTGCTGCCACTGCTGCTGCTCCCGTCCCTGCAGCAACAATGGAGTTGGCCAGAGTCTTGGGGAAGTCTTCTTTGCTGCGCCAGAAGCAAACTTGCTTCATAGTGTGCAGCAAACTGCTTTCTGCTGCTGCTGCTGCTGCTGCTGCAGCAGGGTCGTACCGCAGCTGCCCCGGGTCCGTGAGCAGGAAGACATTCCCCGAGCCCGCCAGCTGCCTGTAGGCCTCGTCCACAACAGCAGCAGCAGCAGCAGAGTCCAGCTGCTGCTGCGTCCAGTTTGCTGCTGCTCTTCTGCTGCGGGCTTTGCTGGCCAGGGCCATCAGTGCTGCCCCCAGCAGCACGAGCGAGAGGCCCACGCGGCCCCTCCAGCGCGAGCGGCGCGCGGAGATGCCTTTTGCTGCTGCTGCTGCTGCTGTTGCTGCTGTTGCTGCTGTTGCTGCTGCTGCTCCCGTCTCCAGCGTCGCCGTCTCCGACTCCTCCTCGCTCGCCACGGAGCTCCCCTCGCGCCCGCGCGGCTTCCCCTTGCTGCCTCGCGGGCCCCTTTGCTGCTGCTGCTGCTGCTGCTGCTGCTGCTGCTGCCGCAGCGAGCCGTCGCGAATGGTGGAAAGCTCGAAGTCCGAGCCCGCGCCTGCAGTCCGCGTCTGCGTGTCCTGCGTCTCGAAGGCCCAGGTTTCCGTTGAAAACTCCATTTTCGAAAACTTGTGCGAAAATGGCGCAAAAAGCTCCACTTTTGCTGCTGCTTTCCTCGTCGCAGACCCAGCAGCAGCAGCAGCGGCAGCAGCAGCAGCAGCAGCGAAGACCCACGCAGCCAGCGCCTTCGCACGCAACTACTGCATGCAAAAGAATTAAATTCAACCAAAAACTCGAAAATATTCCAAAGTGCTTTTCCTGCACACCGCCGCAGCCGCAACTCCCCCGCTTCCGCCGCGCTCCTCCGCTGCGGATGCTTCCGCTCCTGCTGCTGCTCCCGCTGCTGCTGCTGCTGCTGCTGCTGCTGCTTCGCAGACCCTCGAAGAAGCAAAACCCTTTATTGCGCGCAAATAATTGCTGCTCAGCTCGAAGCACCAAACTGCAGACTTCGTTTCGAGCTGCTGCAGCAGCGAAAAGAGACGCAGAAGCCAACGGGGCTCCCGCGGGAGTCCTCCGAGGCCGACCAGGCCAAACAGCAGCACAAGAAAAGCAAATTTGCAAACAATTCAGTTAATACTTCAGTTAACTGACATTAATACTTTGCAAAACACTTAAGGGGTTTATTTGTGCAGCGTTTGGGACACAGTGCAACGAAGGGGCAGCAGCGGGATTCCTTGCTGCTAGTGTCGATGCTGGGCGATCTTCGCAGAAACCTGTCGAGGCTGGCTGTGTTCTGCGCGCTTTCCTTGAAAATGTTTTTATTCCAGAAAAGAAAACAAAAACGAAAGACTCCCAGAAGGCTAATGAGCCTCTCTAGCGAACAAAATAGGCCGAACTGGATCGGGGGTGGGCTAAAGCTGTCGCAGGCCGAGTACAGCCGCCAGATCGGCGCGGCAGCCAACCCTCGAGATATCCGCTTCCTTCCGAATGCAAATGAAATTATATTATTGAGTTAATTATATTACTTTTTTCACGGAGAGGCAACACTTGGAGCCACCCTGGACAGCCAGGTTGAGTTCCAGCGCTCCTCCGCAGCAGGAGCAGACACGGGGGAGGCGACGAAAGCAGACTAAAATGGCAATCAGTGCCGCCATTATCCCCTATAAAAGGCAAAAAAGTAGAAAGGGGGTAAAAATAAAGCTAAAAAGTCAAAAACTGTGCCGCTTTCCCCATGAGTTCGTGGCGAGGCAGCCAAATACACAATTCCACTTCGATGCTGGCAGCAACTCAAAGCCTGTGCAGGAAGCTGGGCGCGCCTAAGGGAATTTGTGCAAAAACTGAAAGCAGAGGCCCCATTTATGGTTTCTAGAAACAATAAAACAATAAAAGAAGCTTCAGGAGTCCCCAGAAAAGCATTTTGATGAAGGAATTTGGGGGAGAGCTAGCTGCTGAACTCCCAGGGGAAATTCACTTCAAGCAAAGAAAGCAAAAGCTGAAATGCACCAAAGGGGGCTCTCTGTTTGCAATTTCTTCGGAAACGAAGAAGCGCCGAACAGCTTATCTCGATCTTATTAGTGTTTTTATTCTCCTTCGCGTCTCTAGAGGATCCTAAACCCTAAACCCTAAACCCTAAACCCTATTGGTTGAAGTGGACAGCAAGACAGGCGCCCAGCTCGCGCCTAACGGCTCTCGTGTGTTGCCTTTCCCCAAAGCAGCAACAAAAGCCTTAATGGATTTATTTTGATTTATTAAGTCCTTTATTTTTGGCTTTTATGCAAGAAATCATATTGCATTTTGTTGCACTGAGTCGCTTCTCTCCACCCATACAGCTCTAGAGTTGCAGAATTGCAAGTTTTTCTTGTTTCGAAAAGAAACCTGGACCTTCTTAATCCTCATTTTGTATTTTGAAAATTTAATTGAGCTGTTGCACTAAATAAGTAGCTGCTGCCTTATTGTGTTCTATTTTACTTCTCCGATCGGCTGCAGATGGTAGCCTTCAATTCTATTGAAGTGTGGCTCTTAGACTTCGCGAAACGGAAACTTGAATTTAATTCAAAAGAAAAGGCTCAAGAGCCTCTTTTGAGTACGAATGGACTTCGACAAGTACATTTGTTCTCAAGAAAAGGTTCTTAATTTGTTTTATTTGAATATTTGAATTAATTTCATTTTGTTTGAATTCAAGACTTCGGTCCTCCGGGAGAGAGAAAGCTAAGAAAAGCTGAACGCAGTGTGGAAGCTGACCTCCGCAAGAATGCCTTGAGGCACAGCTTAGATTTTTCTCGAAAAGAAAACATTCTGGAGTTCATTTGCAAGAAAATATATTTTTAATAAATCAAATTTGAAGAAAAAAAGAAAATCTGAACGGCTGGGCAGGGGGGTCTAAGAAAAATGCTGTTGAGGGAGCTAAGAATTAATTTGAAAAGCAGAAAAAGAACAAAATGGCCCCTGAAGAAACATTTCCGAATTAAAAATTCCACTCTGTGTTATTATTTCCCAACAGTTTATCTGAATTTTCCCAGTAAGCTGCTGAAAAGCCAAATTCAGCAAGCAAGAACTGCCTGCTGGCTGCACAGTGGCTTTGAAAGCTGCAGCAGCTGCAGCAGCTGCAGCAGCAAAGTCAAAAAAGATAAAAAAAAGATCTACAGAAGTCCAGCAAAGGCCAAATGAACTAAAGAAACAAAAAAGGTAAGGAATGGCTGCTGCTAAAAGAGCCAGCGAGCAGCTTTTCCCCAGAGTTTTGGCTCTCTGCAGCTTCACTGAGCCTCTGGTTTCACTCTGAGAGGAATTTAAACTTCAATGAAAGGAATTTAAACTTCAACGAGAGGAATTTAAACTTCAAATCCGCACAAGTTAAATGCCTCAAGATGTACTTCTCATACATAATGCATGCAAGTGAGTCCATCGAATTCGGGCCACTCAATAGAATAGAGCCGCTGGCCTGCAAAAGAAATGGCAAATGAGTTGACTTCTACTTAGAAAAATAAATTTAAAAGATACGGCAATGCCCATAGACCAGGGGATAGCAAATATCCTCTTTGCCAGTTTGTTTCGAAGCAAGACAGCTCGAAAGACGGGCATTTAGTCCTTTGTGTACTTTCATTGTTTGCAAATGAATAAAAAATAATATATTAATCGAATTTGTGTCCTGAATTTAAGCAAAATGCTGGTTGAAGGAACATTCAGCAGCAAGTATAAGGAGTTTCTCTCATTCTATCACAGAACCATCAGCTGGCAGCAGAAGCCAGTTGAGCCTTGCTGTGCCTTTACTTATTTATTTCCACTTCACAAAAGAAATGGAAATAAATAGAGGGATAAGGGGCAGTTTATTTAACTGAGCAGAGAGTGGCAGAGAGTGAGACATTGAGCTTAGACAATTTCCCGTTTTCTTCTTTCTTTTGTGCTCTCAGCACTCTCCCCAGCTAAGTGAAGCTGCCAAATTTCGCAGGCATTTCAGTCCATTTATTATTTGTTGCTTCTCTGCATTTAATCGGTGCAAAGAGGAAGCCTACTGAGGCTCCCTTTCTGGTCCCGTCTATCCGCGGGATACCTCTTTGGCTGCAATTGGCCGAGTCTTGCAGAGGCTTTTGCCTTGAACAGAGCCATTAGGGAGTTTCAAAACCATCTGGTTCCTTCTCTTGGAGTTAATTGCATTTTATTCTTTTTATTTTGTAATTTGGAACTAAGTTGTTGGCAGGGACACTGGAGGATTCCTGCTTAGGCGCGGCAGCTGCAGCACAGGGGGTTGGGCGGAGAAACACGTATCCACGGTGCCGATACATTATTTTATCGGATAAAATGGTCTATTATGCTTTATAAAGCCACAATAAATTAAATTTAAATGTGAAGAAACAAAAAATATGAATTACAGTTCTTTTCTTGCTTGCAAACAGTATCGAGGCGTGATCACCTGTCGGCTGCGAGCAGTTTCCGGTTCTGCGCAGCTTTCGCTCGTGGTGCCCGGGGGGGATATTAAACTTTCTTTACTTCAAAAGTTGATTATTTTTTGTTTATAAATTGATTTAAAAGGGATTTGAGAGTAAGAAGGGTCGGTGGGGTCAAAAATTCGGTCGGACTTCCACCAACCCCACCACCCCCAACAGTCGTGGGCTTGCCGCTTGATCGTGCGTGTGTGGGAGTTCATTTGCCTCTTTTAAATTCAAATCCGAACGAACTCTCTTTGATAATGTTTTTTAGAACAAACAAAAAGAGCTTTCTCGTCTTTTGATTGCAGCAGCGACTTCGCGTGCCGCGGCCGAAGGCAGCGCCAGCGGCGCAGTTGCGCTTCCCTCCTGCACACTGCGAGTGAGTTAAAAGGCTCCAAATGGCGCTTTTATTATCCATTTAATTCTAAATTGCATTTTAATTTATAAT